CCCGCGCCAAATGAATTCAACTTTGACAACATACAACCAATGGAAGAACTGAACATAAATACGGACAAAATAACCGTGCCGGACATTCTAACAATAGCCATGAAAATGAAAAGTAAAAAAGTCCAGAAGAAGACAGAACTACCGCTGAGATGCTTATATTAAGTTACATCAGAGAGTATTTTATTATATTTTTAAGAGTCTCTGGTTATATATGTATACGCTAACGGAACACTATTTAGTTATATAATAATATAGGAGGCGAGTTGCTTCGGCAGACACACAATAGAGACGATTCAAAAGTGTTGATTAATATTATTGTTAACGTCGTACTTTTTAAAATACAAGCATAATAAGCTATAAGACGCATGCTACGTATCCCATGGACAGCTAGAAAAACAAATGAAGAAGTCTTGGTTGAAGCAAATATTATAGTAGGAGACAGCTTATGACGAATATAAGAAAGCGACAAGCAAATTTCTTCGGACACACAAAGAGGAAAGAAGCATTGGAGAGTATTGTTACAACAGGCAAGTTTGATGGAAAGAGAGGCAGAGACAGACAGGTGGAAAAGATACTGTACAAGATGACAACAGGGCTAGGAGCAGCAAAAAAAAACAGACACCATTGCTGCAACGCAAGACAGAGTGAAGTGGAGGTCCATGATCGCCGACGCCAGTCGGCAAGGCACCGGATGATTGTGATAATAAGCTAACTGGACACTACTTGTGTACGTATTTTAGATTATAGAAGTAGGTGAGCTGCTTCGAACCTACCTGTCAGAGCCAAACTAGACTGTGGAATACAACCTCCGAGCAAAAAGTCGAAGATATTCAACAATAAAACAACCAGAATTTATCGGTTCGTAAGCCGTAAGTCATCGCGCAAGAAGAATATCCGAGACCACAAACTATGTTGTGGTTTTTAATTTTGTTAATTTATTTTTCATTTACTATCTTAAAGACTTAGATCTAGATCTAGTACCTAACAAAAATACCCCCAAGCTTCGTGACCATGTTTTGTGTGTACGCAAGAGGCCAAGTTGATAGTCAAAGCAGGAGGCAGAGCCTGCGCCCAGGACAGCTTTAGGGATTGCATTACTTCATTTTCAAAAGTGGACGACAGTGGTTAAGTTTCCATGTGTACACAAAAGCGTCCCTTCCCCAGAGGTACAAAAGCAGACTAAGCAAACACCTTAGTAGGATCCATTGCGTGTATTTGTGTGTGTGTGTGT